CGGGTCCAGACTAGTCCATGATCTTGAAAGTTTGAGTTCAGTCCAGTCCGAGTGCATAAGCTCAAAACATTTTGAGTTCAGTCCAGTTAATATGGAGATGTGATTAGAATCGCAACAACTTATTTAAATAAAAAGAAAATTGTGCAAAAGTCTTCATCTGAGCAAAGTTTCAGCATTTCGGTCATATGGTTGTATACGTACGATGCTTATTCTTGCACATGCTTTTGGCTACGGTACCTTCGTTTGATTACTTATGCTTCAAACAGTTATTTTTATTTTACTTTCTAGTTTGAATATAAACATCACAAATCTAAGTTTTTAAAGGGTTATTGTTTGAAGCTACTTTTAGGATGGACAGTAACGATGGGTCTATTGCATTAGTTAGTCTCGGCTATACCATAGATAGCCGAATCATTTTTCAGATGATGTCTCATCCTACCCCAATCTGATCTCACGTTGTCTATGACTAAGTTCACCTAGTGGTCGTGGTTCCCAATTCTTGACTGGGATTACTTCTTTGTCTTATCTTTCTAAAAATAGAGAGTTTAGTTCTGTACCTTTATCGAATCTTATCTCCGATTCTGTCATCAGTGTATGAATTTTGTGATTAACAGTATTTATTTTAAGCTGATGTTGTGTAGCATAAAATTAACTTAGCAAATAAACAGAGGAAAACTAACAGACTGAACAGTGTGGGGTTCTGAAATTAAATCTGATCAGTGCGACGCGTTACGTCTTGATTCTCGAGGAGCTTTAGGCTTAGATCATAATCGAAAAGAGAATTAAAGAATGTGATATAAGCAGATTGCCTGAAAAATAAAAGATCAAAAACGAAAAATATAAAATATATGGCGATTTTTGCGCAATGCCTCAATACAAAAAATTATTTTTTAAGAAACAAAAAAAAGAGAAGAGAAACAGTAACGGATTAAGTATGATAAATTTGACACGATGAAAAACATTCTTTTCCTTTTGTAGTATAAAAGGAAACGAAAGAAAAATTATATATATACGCGATATATATGTAATGTTATTTCAAAAGTGAATAATTAAAACCATGGATGAAAATACCCGTGTAACTTTCAAAAGACGAAATTCTTTCTTTTTTTTTACAAAAAAAGAACAGAATATACTCAAAACGAAATAGAAAGAGAAGGAGAACAACATGTTATACTGCGAAGACTTGTTTATCGAAAAAGAAGAATAAATGAGCTTGGTTTTGTATGGTATATCATGTTTTCAAACTTGAGTGAAGTTATGTGGTGAATAGTCATTATGTGACACAGTTTCGTATCATGAAAATATGTTTTGTGTAAAACTACTTTTCGAACTTACTCTCACACTGCCAACACCTCCAGTTCCCGTGACACTCTGTCAAAAATACCCAAACATTATGAAACATCATATTATGAAAAGTTCGTGGCAGAGTCGGGGTTCTGTTCGCCGTAATGTCGTGTCATAGATTCCACACTGCTATAAAAATTGTTATTATATGCAAATCAATGCTGATGAACAGTGAGCTTCAGTTTATCGTGTACCGCAGAGAAAACCGGTCAAACACGATGAGCCATGAAACTGGATATCTGTAACTGTATCACATAATGACTATTCACCACATAACTTCACCCAAGTGTGAAAACATGATAACAAATGCAAGACCAGACTCAATTATTCTTCGTTTCCAATAAGCCAGTCTTTTTTGTGAGACTGCATCTGCATTGTTACGGAGAGGTTCGTCGATTATGAAATCATCAAATCGAGTTTAATCTTGTCCGTTTTGAATCAGTTACATTTGTATTGCGATGGACGCTAGTCAAGCCTATTATTTGCTACACCGTTTTAATGCGTAAAGGAAGCGGGAGGATTTTCAGTTAGAGCGCCTTTAAACAATTCCGAAAAAAACTGACGATGACCAGCATCGAAACAAAATATTTCATTTCATTTTTCAAAGTTTTGACTTTCATTTTTTTCAAAAATGTTTTGCCCCTATCCCACCCTTGGATCACTAAAAAGTTTTTCATCTGGGGTTTCGATTAAAGACACATGGTCCGATGCAAAATTTCACGCTGATAGCGAATATGACCTTTATTTTGCATGGAAAGCTTCTGAAACGTAGAAAGAAATTTCTTTCTCGTCGAAGGTTATTTATAATCTTCCGCAGAAGTGGGTCTGCTGAAGGCAGACATTTTATTTTGCAACTGTAAAAAGCTGCTAGATATATGTAAAAAGACGGACTCTTTCAGAATATCACGTCCAAAAATGTATATGACTCCATTAGAGTGCCGAAAGTCAAATACAGCAAATTCCCCTGCCAAAAAGCAAATTACGGATTTTGACCTGAAATTTTGCCCATAAAAAGGTTTAATGACCATTAGAATATCCTGAAAGTTTCAACCAAAATGAATGTTAGTTTCTCGACATACTGAATTGTCGAAAAACAGTCCCGTTCCACAAACCGATCACAAAAATCCAGTTCACTTAAAAATTCACCGGAAATTTCTATCGAATGATGTATAAATAAGAACAAAAAGTGCTCGAATTTAGAATTACACACGCCTTAAATTATCATCAATTCTGCTGGAGTTCTGTCAGATTCTGTTAGAAGGTAGTATTCCAGTTCTACCAGAATCTCAGTAATAGTATATATTTGAATGTGGCGAATTCTGCCAGTTGCAGAAATTTCCATACAATTGTATAACTAGATACTGCTCGTGATTTTGATCCAACAAGTATGTTAAACAAATGCTTTTAAATAATAATAAAGAAAGAAGACTTATACGCAACAAAAACACAAATTGTAAAGCGAAAACGAACACAGAAAACAAGAAATGTGCAAAGACATGTATTTAACGTCTTCAAAAGTACTTTACAAGTGTTGCGCTGTAAATTTCACCTGCTAGACAATGTAAATTTGGATAATGTCAATGTAAAATTTATTTGGGTAGCTCTATTACCGGCACCGGTGGTGTCAACAAGAGGTATTGCCACCGTTAGGAGGTGTCAAATTGAGCTAAGGTGCCGCTAATTCAAAACTCAAGTGGAAAAGCTTTTGACATTTTCAAACACATATTGGGATTCGTCGGACGCGGCTGATCACGAATCTGAGCTTATTTTTTCGATTTGACCGAGTTTTCACGCAGAAAACCTCAAAATACTGGGGAGGCGTCCAAAACGTCGAAAAACCACTTTTTCGGAAAAATCCGGATTATCTCCTGATCTTTTCATTTTTCGATCTTACCGATGCGATTTCCGGACTGAGTATCGCGAAGCACATCTAAGCACTTGTTAGTCGATGACTTTTCTTCAAGACTTAAACTCTTGTAGCTGATCAAAGACTGATTGCTTGGCACAGTTCAATACAATGCAGCGCGAGCGGTATTGGGGGCAACGCGAGGGAGCTCGAAAGATAAATGTTTAGAAGTATTGGGTTGGATTCCTTTGCGCTCTCACATTAAGATTTTGCGTTTATTGTTTTTTGCAAAAATCATGAAAGGTCTTGTACCGCAGTATTTAACTTATCATTTACAGTATCGTCCACAAAATACTAGGTACGCCTTGCGTAGTAATCAAGTTTCTATCGTTGATCCTGTTCCAAACGACTTTTTCTCCTTAGTTGCATGTGATTGGAATGAATTGATAGGAAAACAACCTAATGTTCTTACTCTAAAAATTGCGCGAACTCCTGATTAATGTTTTTTTAACTAAGCCTTCGTTTCCTGAGCAGTTACGTTTTCCTAGTAGAAAAGCCGAAATCAACGTCATGCGCTTAAAATCGGGTTTTTCTCCTTTAAATTCTTATTTGTATAGACGTAATTGCGTTGATAGCCCGGGCTGTGCTTGTGGTAAAAGCATTGAAGATATAGACCATTATTTATTGAAATGTCAGTTATACGTTTCTGAACGTACAGTGTTGCGTAATAAATTGAACTTTCGCTCCAACCTCAGTGTAGAAGTATTACTACTGAATGATTTAAATTTTGATGATGATGTTATGCGCAGCATTCTAATTGAGGTTACTACATACATTGATGAAACAAAACGTTTCGATTAAATAAATAAAATAACTAGCAGCGCATTGTTTTTAAAATTTTTCTATCTCCACTCTCCATCATAACTCATAACTATTTCTTTTTTTTTTTTTTTCTATATAACGGGTCGCACAGTAATGGTTAAAGCACTAACTTGTATTTTTTCTAGTTTATGATTCTGAAAATGATTTTTTATATATTTCGCGTTTTAATACTCATTATTATTACTGAAGTATCACGTGTAAAACCTACACCTCCTCCCTGTGCAAGTAAATCAGCAGATCATGTACCATCTATTCTAATTGAAAATCTTATTCAGTCGTCAAAAATACAATTTGAACAATCCAAACTCTGACAGATAACCATCACGACAAAATTAAAACTCATGTGGAAGAAACTGTTAAATCAATTGATAATCATCGTGAACGAATTGACAACCAGTCAAAACAATTAGATAAACATAAGAATATTCTAAAGTTTGTCTATCCCGTCTTTTCATTGGTATTGGTAGTGTTAATTCTATTATTAATCGTTATCCTGATCTGCATTTTGAAGTAATGATTCGTTTGTAAACCAAAACGTAGTGCTACGTCAAATTCTTTATCGGTTTTAGCAAGACCTGGTACAACCAATGAACGTGTTGCTAAACAAGAAATTTCAACCGTTGATAATTTTACATTGTCAAATGCCATAGCTGCTGTGCTCGCTGAAAAACTGTCTTAATTTTATTAATTTTTTTCCCTCGTCTAGATTTTTACTATTTAGTCTTTTTCTTTTATACTTATATATACATTGAAGGTTGATAATGGGGTTCGCCCCGCTGACCTTGTTTGTTTGAGAATGAATAAAGACATAAAACAAAACAATAATTATAGGTCAATAACTCTCCTACCAATTCTTAGTAAAGTTTTTGAGCGCGTGGTATATAATCATTTGTATCACTATCTCACTACGAATAAGTTGTTGTCGAGTATGCAATCGGGATTCATTAGGGGTGATTTCACAGTGAATCAGCTGATTGATTTTGTTCATACAATTTATCAGAATGGAGATGAAGGACAAATAACAAAAGCTATTTTTCTCGATTTTAGTAAGGCGTTCGATCGTGTTTGGTTTAGAGTATTACTGCATAAATTAGAAATGAAAGGTATTTGCGGCTCACTACTGACAACCCGTGAAGTCTGCATAGACTCGATTAACGTCAACATGCATGATGTTTGGATGGAAAATAAACATGTTGACTTTAATCAAGTCCATTGCAGGCTTTCACTGTGCCAGTCTTGTATTGTTTACATTTGTGGGTAGAAAATAGACGAATCTGATACACGATATATTTTGCATAGTGCTCTTTCAGCTCTCTTTTTCTGTGGAAAGACAGAATACGACAAATGCGAAGCAAATCTGAATGCCAAAGATCTAGTATATATATTATTCGATACATCGCTTCTGTTAACGTGGTGTGAACGTCGTTTTTGTTCCCTGGTACAGGATATGTCTATTATATTATATTAAATACTTTGGCCGACAGATAGCTCTCCATACGTGCCATGCTTATGTAGTAGCTATTTTTTCACCTAAGTATACAAAATTTTGAAGTATTTTCCAGCCTAATTAAAAGTCCAATTGTCTAAACGTCTAATAGTTCAGGATTATGTGCAGAAGTCTAACTAAATCTTCGAATTCTACACTACTCAAAAGAGATTTTTTATAAAAGACGTTAGCAATACCCAATGGGCTTCCGAGAGGCCTCGGTGAAAAAGACATGAGAAAACATAACATCCTTGTTCCAAGGACATTTTATTGCTCATCTATATTCGGCACAGTATCCTGATTTTATTGGCCCAGTAAAAGCCGGAAGAAAATCAAGTTAGGAATGAAAAGTGTCCGAGCTTTCACTGTAGAAAATATTTTTGACAAAATATTCAGTGTTGTGGTTAGAAATCGTAGCAATTCTAGTTTAACAGAAGAAATGAACAAATCTTCTTCAAATCTAGTTCACTTTCAAAGAACAACGCAGTAAAATGATAGAAATGGAACTCTTTTTTATAGGTTATCAATCATGTGACTCTGAAACTATTTCTAATTTATGCTGGAATTTCCAGTTCTATGTTATCAATGGTTATTTCTGTTCGCAAATTTTTCGTTTTATAAAATACGAATGCAGTATCTACGCCCAATATTAGCACGGATGTACCCAGATAAATGCTTATCAATCTTCCGGTTAAAACCATCCAGCCGAAATATTGTTCTGCAAATGCTGATGAAAAAAACGATAGGGATATACTAGACATAACAATTGCTTCATACAATGAATGTGTTTTTGTTTTTTCTTCTTCTCGGTGTGATTGTGTTAACAGTGCTGACGCTCCCACGTAACCCAAATTCCATCCGACGCCGACAATAATCAGACCCAAATTAAAATGACTAGTTTTAAACCCGCGTTGAAACAGTAGTGTTCCCGTTAATTGTGTCAGAAGCCCAATTAGCATTACCAGTCGGCTTCCAAACCAATTACACAGGGTCCCAGTAAAAAATGATGGTACAAACATGCCTAATAGATGGTATTCAACAGCCGTTGTCGCCTGCGCAAAACTGTGTCCGGCACCTGTCATTGCCAGTGGTGTAGCCGACATTTGAATGGCCATCGCTGACCATGAAACAAAACCGCCGAGAGCAGCGATCAGAAATGTTCGTTGGCGAGCTATTACAAATATCGAACGACCACTTTTACTACTACTGCTACCCGTGGTCTTTGATAACGAAGTCGATACTGGTGTATAATCTGCCTTTTTAATGTTTGGAAATTGGATAATTGTCATTGTGAATAGAAGCACCGTACATTCACACAATGTTGTTAAATAAGCACCACTGTATGGCTTTGGTAGTGCATTTACCGTGTGTTTGGCTATCTCTGGCCTACAACAGCACAAAATAACACTTACATATGATTCCTCTCTTGTTGGATGTTAGAAAAAAGAATCCATGGTCAAGCTTAATACTAATTCACCACATCTCTTACCTGAACACTGAAGAGTAGAAAAAGAAAACAGTGCGGTATAACTGAACCACGTACTGCATGTTTAACATTCACGTCGGTCCAAAGGGAACTCTTTTTGTCCATCTCCGTTACTTACTTCTGTAAATACGGGTGTCGCTCTGCGTGAGCGCGAACACTGACCTCCTAAGTTTTCTAAGTGGAGAACGTACAGTGACAGTCCTGGTTATTTGATCGTGACGAGCTGGGACACTGTTGATATACAATGATTTAACGAATTTTACAGACGGGAGATTTCCGTATCAAACTTAACTGATATGTAGGATCCGCTATTTTCATCAATTTTACGTTGAGTGATAGTCATTGTGTCATGAGAGAATGATGAAACTTCAGCACGAAGAAAGTTAAGCACGGACGTTTGAGTATGGAAAATTCTACTGCTAAGAAAGATCAGAACTAAAAGAGATCAGCGCAAGTACTGGTTTGGTTGTCATAAACGTAAGACAGTCAATGTAGCTGCATAGAGTTTCATAATAATAAATTCTATACAGCTGCATTGGCAGTCTTACGTTTGTGTCAAAAACCGTGCCCAGCATAGAAAATATTTTGGTTTGTCATAGTTTTGAAATAAAAAGTATGAACTGACAATCAATTTGAGACGAATGATCTTTGACGAACTACGATTGGAGCTATGCATAGATCGTGTCTGCCAGTATACGGCTGAATATAAAATGAATATATACAGTTTGAAATCGAATGTAACAATGTAATATGGAATTACGAGTCCACTGTTTTCGAAAACTCAACATAGAAGTGGTATATAAATAAATGAAGAGACACTGCTGCCATTTTCATATATTTGTCATTGCTCACTACAGTTCCAACTAACGATAATATAAATATATATTTACAGTCCGTAATCTAACAGTGTGATGATGCAGATGTAACTGGAATACACTTCGTATAGCATAATGTATGATTGATTATATAAAAGATTAACTCATAATTGAATAAATACCTGAATACCTAAGTATGAGAGTTCATTCTGTTTCTCAAGTTAGAAAACTGTTAATGGCGTGCCTAGCAAACTCTGTTACCGCAAGGGAATTTTGTGACGTTCTTTTTCATTTTATTGTGTCGATGTTTTATTAGGATCTCCAGAAAGAGACATTTTCTATAGTGAGATATATCTTAAACGGTTCACTTCAATTTAACACGTCTCGCAACTCTCTGCATGGTTTGGTTTGGTGCACGTCGACACAACAAAATGAAGAAAAACTTCAAAAAAATTTCCTTGCAGTAGCAGAGTCAGCTGGTCGCACCGTCAGTCAAATGTACCACTTGAGTTCGCTTACCCACATGTACCCAAAGCACTAGCTTTCATCTACACCACATGCCTGATCGGGAATTTTGAAATATGTTCCATATAAAAATAAACACATTTGATCTCCATATTGGTTGTCAGCTCATACTTATGTTTCAGAACCATAGCAAACCAGTACTTGCGCTGATCGCTCCTGGTTCTGGTCTTTTCTAGCACTGGATTTACCATACTCAAATTTCCGTGCTTAACCTTCCTCCTGCTGAAGTTTCACCGTTCCCGGATGAAAGTGATTCGTTAGTCGATAAACACACTTCGGTTTAGCTGTCAGTTTAAGAATACGTTTGAAAACACGATTTGTGAAATATTTCCTTAGATATACCATGACCAGTCATTATACATCTCTCTGTTTTACAAGACTAGCAGGATAACTTGGATCAGTTATCCCATACGCAAACCAAGTGTACTTTTGTGTAGCACACCCAGTTACATATGTAAAACTATTTATGTCGAGATGGTCGACTGCTTTTCTTCAGAAAATGAAACTTTCAGAAATTTATTAGTAATGTGATCTAACAAATAGCTTAATAGTGCATATATTGTATGAATCTGAAGTTCATCGAACCAGCAGAGTTGGTTCTTCATCACATACAATGATGAACAGATTGATAAAACCTTCAGCAAACAATGTTAATTTTAGTGAAATTAGCATTAACTCTGTTTTACTAAACATATACCTGTTTTCCTTAAAAGAAAGCCGAGTATCTAAAAAGGATTTCTGCTACACAGTAGTATCATTCGAGCTGTATCGCACGAATTTATGAGTAGTATAGAACTCGAAGACACATTTCAACTTTTGAAAAGTTGAAAATTTTCTTCAACTTTTGGAATAGAACAATCTACATTTTCAACTTTCAATCTATTATTTCAACTTTTCAACTTAAGAGATTCTCCTTTCAACTATCCAACTTTTGACTTTATATATCACTTTCAACTTTCGAACCTATATATCCTTGTCAAATTTTGAGGTTTTGAACAAACTAAACGAACTCTTCATAGTTTCTAAGTGTACGAATTGTTTTATGAATAGTTGAATAATTGAAAAGAGAATCTCAAAAGTTGAAAAGTTGAAATAATAGATTGAAAGTTGAAAATATAGATTGTTTTATTCCAAAAGTTGAAGATGATTTTCAAATTTTGGATAGTTGAAGTGGCTCTTCGAGCTTTACACTTATGGAATTTATATGATATCTAAACCGCAACATTTCCACTTTCGCTAACATATATAATATTGAATATTATTCAATACACGTTGGAAGAGGAACAGGCGCCGCGCTCTCACGCACCCTGGGCATCACATCGTCCAGTGCTAATGCCGTCGACTGATCGACACGGTATAGCTATTGAAAAAGACGATTAAAATCGAAGAAATTCTATCATAAGTTAGCCATGTCAACATAAGACTTCCTTTGTATAACAGTAATAAAAGAGATAGATTGAACAGATAATAGTGGGTTAGAATGCGAGTACGAAGTAGCTAAGGCTACGTTCACACTACAAAAGTTAAATGAGCAAAAACGAAGCTGATTGGTCAAAAAGTTAACTCTGAGTTAAATGATGTTTCGGACATCATTTAACTTTAACTCTCCAACCATAAACT